TCACCCGCGTCCCAGGAATGGTCAAGAACATGACTGGTGTGGATGTGACCAAGGTAAATACATGATGTCTTTGTTTTTTTGTTTTTTGTTTTTGTTGTATATGTTGATTATGTGATGGTCTCTGGTAGTTGTATGTTTGTGGCTTAATGATAATTCTTATACGATTATAGTTTACATGTTCATATTTTTATACCTTGTATAGTGTCATGAGTCAGTTATGAGGATTGAAGTTTTTTCATGATAAGCAATAGAATCATGAAGAGGCTACAGAAAGGTGATGATATGGATAATGCAGTATTGTATATATTACTACTGTTGATACATTGGGAGTTAGTAAATTGATTCCATTGAATTTTAAGGTAATTTGTCATTCTTTGAATTTGTGAAAGTGCATTATCGAATGATATTTATAGTTGGATGAGGAGAACTAGAAATAGGGAGCATTTATATTCCAGTTTGACTAGTGTCTCATAGTCAACCAGTATTAGTAAAGCCGGTGATAATCAGTGCATGACTGGTTTGATTTGGAACTCTAGATATGAAGGCAATACAGAAATCCAAAATCAGACATGGTCCTAACTGCAGAGTATGTCCTTACCTAGTGCAGAAACTGATAACTGAGTGAGACCCAGACTGAATGTAAGTCAGGAGCCAGTTCAGATCCAGGGTATTGCTTGCTAATATAAATATTTTTTTTAAGTAATGTTTTGTAAGCTGGTACATTATTGGCAAAAGAGAGTAAATATATATACTTGAAAAAGAAAAAGCTTCTGAAATGATTACAGATCCTTTGCATTTGGCTGCTGTGCTTGTGCAAGTTCTTCTTTTAATAGCTCTTTTTCTTCCATAATGCTGAAATGCAGGAGCTTACTACTGCCTCTAGCTACCCATACTGAGTGGGCATTTTGTAATCTTATGTTGGATATGTTCTCATAGTGGGTAGCTTTGTTATTCTAGTTGCTGGCTCTGTCATTATTACTTGCTGGAGGAATGACTTTGATTTAAAGTGCACGCAGGACTATGGCTGGTGAATTTTGATGAGTTGCCCATTTTGAATTTATATATTTTTCAAACAAGACTTTAGAAATATTTTTTTTTCTCGATTTTTTAAAATCAGATAGACCACTTGTTATTTTTTTCTTTATTTCTTTATTTTTTATGGAAGTGATTTAAACACATTTTGCTAATTACCACTTAAACTATTTTCAAATGCACAGAAAAAATAAACATTTTTAGCTAGAAAAGGAAAGAAATAGGAAGAGAACAAAAACACGTTCATTAATTTTTAATCAATTATGCTATATAGCTTATTTGGTATATACTCTTGTAAATATTGCTTGTCTATCTTGGATAGTTTTATTAAATCAGTGTGGTTTATGTCTGTCTTCCAATGCTTGTGTGTATCTGTCAGTGTCAATCTCATTGTTTATCTGTAAGTCTTTCTAATTGGCTCTCTATCTGTTTAGATAGCTTATATCCTGCTTAGATACATAATTTTTTCATCTATCTATCTGTTTAGCTATCTATGTATCACTATTTATCTGCTTGCCTCTCTCTGTTTTTGTTCTGGTGATCTACCTCTTCTATTTATATATTTCTCTCTCTCTCTCTCTCTCTCTCTCTCTCTCTCTCTCTCTCTCTCTCTCTCTCTCTCTCTCTCTCTCTCTCTCTCTCTCTCTCTCTCTCTTCTCTCTCTCTTCTCTCTCTCTTCTCTCTCTCTTCTCTCTCTCTTCTCTCTCTCTCTCTCTCTTTTTTCTCTCTCTTCTCTCTCTCTCCCTTTTCTCTCTCTCTTTTTTTTCTCTCTCTCTCTTTTTTCTCTCTCTCTTTTCTCTCTCTCTCTCTCTCTCTCTCTCTCTCTCTCTCTCTCTCTCTCTCTCTCTCTCTCTCTCTCTCTCTCTCTCTCTCTCTCTCTCTCTCTCTGTCTCCCTCTCTGTCTGTCTCTGTCTCCCTCTCTGTCTGTCTCTGTCTCCCTCTCTGTCTGTCTCTGTCTCTCTCTCTGTCTGTCTCTGTCTCTCTCTCTGTCTGTCTCTGTCTCTGTCTCTGTCTCTCTCTCTGTCTCTTTCTCTCTCTCTGTCTCTTTCTCTCTCTCTGTCTGTCTCTTTCTCTCTCTCTGTCTGTCTCTTTCTCTCTCTCTGTCTGTCTCTTTCTCTCTCTCTCTCTCTCTCTCTCTCTCTCTCTCTCTCTCTCTCTCTCTCTCTCTCTCTCTCTCTCTCTCTCTCTCTCTCTCTCTCTCTCTCTCTCTCTGTCTCCCTCTCTGTCTGTCTCTGTCTCCCTCTCTGTCTGTCTCTGTCTCCCTCTCTGTCTGTCTCTGTCTCTCTCTCTGTCTGTCTCTGTCTCTCTCTCTGTCTGTCTCTGTCTCTGTCTCTCTCTCTCTCTCTGTCTCTTTCTCTCTCTCTGTCTCTTTCTCTCTCTCTGTCTGTCTCTTTCTCTCTCTCTGTCTGTCTCTTTCTCTCTCTCTGTCTGTCTCTTTCTCTCTCTCTCTCTCTCTCTCTCTCTCTCTCTCTCTCTCTCTCTCTCTCTCTCTCTCTCTCTCTCTCTCTCTCTCTCTCTCTCTCTCTCTCTCTCTCTCCCCCCCCCCCTCTCTCCCCCTCTCTCCCCCCCCCCCTCTCTCTCCCTCTCTCTTTTCTCTCTCTTTCTCTTTAATGCATCAGATATAGAAGGCTCTCCTGTCATGTTATGGGTCTTTTCCTTTGAAATATCACTTGCAGGAGTTCACGCAGGTGGAACCCCCGAGAACCCTAGTTATGAAGCGTGTCGACCAAGACTTTGCTCTTGGGTCGGCTGGTGTTTGACCCTTGCAGGTAAAAGGAGTAGACTAGGGTCGGCTTTCCCTCGGGACTCCCACGTCAGTGTCTCTTACCCATGTGTATCTATTAGCTTACTTTTTTATCATTTTTTGTCTTTCTGTGTGTATGTTTATTTAATATATACATATATTTTTTTATGTATTCGCTTCTTATGAAAGTTGTGGATAAGGCTGATGAGTGGAAGAAAATAAGATATGGCTGATTCTTCTTTTGGTTGCCATTGATTCATTTTGGTTGAATTCCATAGAAGTGTTTCTTATTAGCAAAACATTTTTGATATGATTGGGACAAACACTCATACTAACTTTCCTGGCTTACCTTTTATTTTGCACTTTAGAAATGACCTTGAACAACAGATGAAGAATGACATTTAGTATGAACATTTGAATAAAGAGGCAAATTAAAATTATTTTAGTTTTCAGTGACATTACTGTAAAGCCCTAATCAAACCAAAATTATCCATGATTTTAGCCATATGCTAATATGGCTAAAATGGGATGTAAATGGAATACCAACCTCCAGTGTTCTCCACAACTGTTCTGTGGAAGTTGTGGCATGTTCAGAAGAATGCAAATGGTCAGTGATTCAGTCTTTCATACTGACTGTTTTATTGGAAGCTGTGTCATGCTGTTGCAGATTCCATGTTGCACTTCAATGTCAGGGCTTTCAGCTTCTTGGTTGTGAAAAGAATTTCCAACTCAAATCTCCAATGGGTTCTTTCAAGTCTGTTGAGTTTGCTTAGTCAGAACCAGAATTTTTTTTATTAGACAATGCTTACTTTTGATTCTTTTTGTATTTGTATGGTAGGAAAGAATAGTTTTGAAAGTATGAAAAATATACTGAAGAAGGGGTGATTTTTTATGTTATATTTTTATGAGTTTATGTATTTTGGAAAAAGAGAGGCATAAAACATATTTTTCAATCTGACTGAGTTAAATAAATTATATTATGTTATGTACAACAGACTATTTTTTCATAAACGGCACCAAATACATTCCGCTATAACGAGCAAGTAGATGCTCTGCCAGAGGAGATGATGAAACCACTCCTTTATCACTGGTTGAAGGATAGTCAGCAAAGAAATTTATGGTTGCCATATTTGAAGCATTTCTTGAATACCCCAAGGGAACAAAACTGATGCCAGTACTTGATTCATGTGAAGCAAGAGTAACAGTTTTCCCGTTACACACAATACACAACAACCAGTTTTTCATTGGTTCTGAAGTGGATGTACCTTGCAGGGGATTAGGGACCTTAAGCCCTATAGACCCCCAAGTTCTCTGGTTAAGAAGAAAATTGATGACGACATTGACGATGCTTCCTCCTTGTTCTTGGAGAGACGGAAGAATTCTTTGCTGGGGTGAACTGGAAGGTAACTCACATGGCCAAGTGTGGCACATGGCACCCCCATTTTTTTCTTTTCTTTTTTTTTTGTCATGGATGTTTTTACTTTGTTTAGAGACCAGGATAGAATTTGCACACGTTTTTGTTTTTTTTGTTTTGTTTTGTTCTGTTGGATGAAGTCTCAAGGCTTATTTTTCTTTGGTTTGCCTGATTTAAGGTCGAGGGAACTGTGAGGTAGCTAAGACCAGGTTGGGTGGATAGGAGCTGCAGTTGGATATTGATTTCAGAAGTATGATGTAAATTCAGTACATTCAGAACCTTTTCTTTTATCTTGTTTATCATTAATTGACAGAATATTATAACGTATGGAAAAGAGAAATTTAAATGGGTTCAATTTTTGTTGGAATGAATATGGAATAGCAGATTTTACTTGTTAATATATTTGTATGAGAAGAAATGCAGATGTTGACTACTGTTTTTCGTTAATTCTTTTGATTTGAACATAATTTAAACCAGTGGTAAGTTACATCACAATTACATTTATGTAATATCTATAAAGGTAGTTTTGATCTTACTTTTTCCCCCACTCTGAAGAAAAAGCAACAATAAAAAGGAAAGAAGGAAAAAAATGGGCCTCTATTTTAATTAGAAGAATACAGCTTTGATACAAACAGTTTATGACAAGTTCCCTTGTGCTTTGGGTTAGAAGTTTTCCGCACCAGTTAAAGAGGATGACAACCCAACTCTACTTATTTATCCAAAGGGCCTAGTGGAGGAACAGTCATCCAAAGCTGCTTGGGAAAGTCCAACTCAGCGTTAGTCCTTGATGCCCCTTTGTGGACTTTAAGGTGGTGTTTTGTCGAAGTAAGAAGAAATGTGAAATCCCAGGTTACCTTATTTTAACGTGCTTGTGCACCTATTTGATTTCTCTTTTTTATGATCATTTTTTTTGTGAATGTTGCTGTCCTTTTCATGTTTGCATATCCAGGTTTTGCATTTTTTTTTTTTTTTTTCTTTTTTTTTTTAAGGAATGACTTTGCTGTTGAAATCATCATCCTGGTGTTTTTGTTTTTTTGTTTTTTTTTGGCACAGCTATGTGGTATTGTTTGTTCACTTTCTTTCATTTATATTGAAAGCACATTGTACATGTTTTGTGCCTCACTGCATGTGACAAAAGTAAAGTGTTATTCACCTTGTAATGTTAAGTTCTATTTTCCACTAAGGAAAAGATAATAAATTGCCTTTTTCAATAAAAATAAGTAGATATTTGCTATAAAAATGTGAGGGATATTGCCCACAGATCCTTTTCTTCTTGAGTGAGGTATATACTTTACACTGTTAATTATATTGATTCCACCATTCAGGACTATTGTTTAATCTATCAATGAAATGCATCAAACTGTATTATAGAGGTCAGTGACCCCCAGTGTGAGAGCATGGTACATTTCACATGAAGCCTGTGTGTGTGCTCTGGAAGTCATACTCAGCTACAGGAATTGTGTAGATGTTTTTGGTCAAGTTAGTGTGATTATCATGTTATGGGCTGACAACTGCTAAGCATTGCTGGTATTTTTGCATCAGTGATTTTAAAGTATTTGGATGTGAATGTGTTGATATATATACACTCACACACATATATATATATGTATATGTATATATATATATATATATGTATATATATATATATATATATATATATATATATATATATATATATATATATATATATATATATATATATGTATATATATATATATATATATATATATATATATATATATATATATATATATATGTATATATATATATATATATATATATATATATATATATATATATATATATATATATATATATATATATATATATATATATATTATTTATTTATATGTATTCATAATATATAATATATAATATACATAATATACAATATATACAATATATGTATAATATATTTATTTCTGTATGTTTACTATATGTATGTCATATATATTATGTATATAATATTTATGGTATATATATATAATATATATATTATATATATACATATATAATATATTATATATATACATATATAATATATTATATATATACATATATAATATATTATATATATACATATATAGTATATTATATATATACATATATAATATATTATATATATACATATACATATATAATATATTATATATATACATCTATACATCTATACATATATAATATATTACATATATACATATATTATATATATATTATATATATATTACGTATATATTACGTATATATTACGTATATATTACGTATATGTTACATATATTACGTATATATTATACATATACATATACATATACATATACATATATATATATATATACATATATATATATATATATATATGTATGGTATATCTATATATGTGGATGTGTATGCATATGAATATATAAAAATATGCATATATGTTTTTATATGTATGTTCATATATGTATATTTTATATGTATATGTATTAGTATATATATATATATATATATATATATATATATATATATATATATATATATATATATATATATATATATATATATATATTATAGATGTATAGAGAGATATATAGATGTATAAATATATATATTATATATATATATATATATATATATATATATATATATATATATATATATATATATATATATAAATATATATATATATATATATATATATATATATATATATATATATATATATATATATATATATATATTGAATATATATATTGTATATATATTGTATATATATATATCTATATATTATATCTATATATTATATCTATATATTATATCTATATATTATATCTATATATTATATCTATATATTATATCTATATATTATATCTATATATTATATCTATATATTATATCTATATATTATATCTATATATTATATCTATATATCTATATATCTATATATCTATATATCTATATATCTATATAAATATATAAATATATAAATATAAATATAAATATAAATATAATATAAATATAAATATAAATATAAATATAAATATAAATATAAATATAAATATAAATATAAATATAAATATATATATATATATAATATATATATATATATATATATATATATATATATATATATATATATATATATATATATATATATATATATATATATATATTTATATTTTATTCATGCTCATACATACAAGTATTAATGTTTGCTAATTATTTGTATAATGATTTGCTCGGTTCAGTTTTGTTTTCCTTGCAGATTTTTTTTCATGTGATAGTCATGGGCAAATGAATTCCTTTGAATACACAAAATAGTTTGTGTGTATGGTTGCCAGAAGTGTAAGATTCATATTTGATGTTGAATTGGTTAATCAGGTTTTAGGTGTATTAAAGAGGAAAAGTTTATTCTTTTATGCTTTTCCCAGAAGTGGCATAGATGTGGATGTATGTCTAAACAAATGTGCACTGAAATTGGATATTTGTACTTGTCAAAACTTTTTCCAATATATCTTTCTGTATTTTGTGAAAAAAGGAAACGTTGTGGTATTGCCAACATAGAAAGAAAAACAAATTTTTCAGACTCAAAGAAAAACATTTTATATATTTATATTTATATTTATATTTATATTTATATTTATATTTATGTTTAAATTTATATTTATATTTGTATTTATATATATATATATATAAATACATTTGTATATATATATATATATATATATATATATATATATATATATATATATATATATATATATATATATATATATATATATAATATATATGATATATATAATATATATATGTATAAACGAGAGAGAGAAATAGAGAGATAACTGTTTATTTATTCAGTATTGAAGACTTATTTATTGTCTTTGTTGATAATGTTTTTCTCTCATGGTTGCTTTTTTCATTGCAGAGTATCCGTGCCGTTTAAGAAGTGATCCAAGCGCATCATCACCGCAAGGAGGGAACGCGGGAAACAGCAGGGGCCACCCAAGAAGCATTTTAGTTTTTTGGTGTCTCAGAACAGGATTGCAGCTTCTTTTTCCCTTTAGATGTGCAATCATTTATGTCGTGAGGACTTGCAGAAGAAGAGGAAAGAGGAGAAAAATTTATTATCTTCCCCCTCACTTTATCGTTTCATTTCTTTCTTCATTTTTATTCTCCTTTCCATTTTTGAAACCAATGGTATAGCTGTGTCTAAACTAAAAGGTGCATAATTTGTTGTGTTAGATGTTGGTATGCCTTGATAAGATGAATATTCAGGTCAGGTCCACTTCTAAAAGTTTTGCATGCGCTTATGTGGAGAGTACAAGAAAATAATGTGGAACTTTGCGCTGCGCTTACTGCGTACTTCTGGATTACTGTTGCTGGGGCCTTAACAAACCTTTTCAGACTCACAAATTTATATAGGTGTAACACATATAAACCTGCTCCTTATATTTACGTCTTGTGTGATTCACACTCCACAGACACGTGACTTTTTTCTCCCCTCCCCTTTCAGCTCTTACAAAAAGGATGCCTTGTAATATAGATTTTATCTTTTCACATAGGCATTTTACTCAAGAGGGATGGTTCACTAGGAATCCAGTATTTTTAGACAAACTTGTGTATTCTCTATCCAAACTCATAAATTTAAAAGAGTACATGAACAAAAGTAAACTCAGAAAAAAATCAGGTATATGTGCAATGCTGTAGACACAGATTTTATATATCTAGATATATCTAAATATATATATATATATATATATATATATATATATATATATATATATATATATATATATATATATATATATATATATGTATGTATATATATGTATATATATTATATATATATATATATATATATACACATATATACACATATACACACATATACTTACACATACACATATATATTTAAACATCTCAGTTATATTTAGGCAACTTCAAAGGCCAAAGCACCAAAGGTGAAACCACACACATTGGTGTCTCAAGGTTGACAGTTACTTTTAAGGAGCTTATTTTTCCCACTTGCGTATTTAGCAGGTAGTTTTAAGGTTCTGGACATAGCTTTCACTATGAAAATTGCATATACCTCAGAGATTTTTTTATAATCTTTGCATTGGTCACATGCAACATACTCTATTCATGTTAGATATATTTACTTTTTTTTTTCCTCTCTATTCAAAGAGGACACACTTTTCACTGCCACTTACTTTTCTTAGATATTATCATTAGTATTATAATTGTTTGCCTCTTCCATATTAAAGCATTTTCTTCTAGATATTGTAGAAGCACTCTTACAGATGTATTTTGGCAAGCAACTTCTGTATAGGGAATGAGTTTGGTTGTTAGGAAATATTGCAAACCTTTCACCAGATTTTTGTTGATAAATCAAACTTAAAAGAGCAGATTTATTTTTCATTATTTTTTTTACACATAGGTTACACAGTTGAAATTCTTTTGTTAATAATGATAAAAATAATCTTCGTAGAGGCTGCATGCCAAAATATCCTGTTTGTTTCAGTTGTCTTTGATATAGATATAAATGCAGTTGAAAGACAAAGAAGAGATAATTGTTATTTAAGTTCACATTTTATTTGAAGTCACAGGCAGATGATCTTTCCGTGAGTGTGAATTTTATGTATTTCCTGAGTTTGTAGATGTGAAAGTATGATTTAGTTTTGTAAACTTTAATATTAGTCTGGATGAAGCTAACACCTCGAATATGATGTTATAAGTTTAGTATGGCATTGAAATTACCAAAAAACTTATTTTGATTTTGGTGCACAAATGATAAAGATTATGTCATAACCAATAAAACAAGTTATTCCTTTTGCTTACTATGTAAAACACAGGAATATGTGTGTGCAGAATATTATTTTTACAAACATTGAATTAGCATTTGGTTTGTAGTTAGATTTCTTTGGTTATTGTTATCTTTATTATCAAAGTTCTACTTGCGTGTTGCCTTTCCCCATAGACTTTGATTCAAGTAATGTGAATTTCATCATGCATTTATTATCTATAGGTTGTAACAAGAAAATTGAGGTCACATGTCCAGATCATCTCATTAATTATGAAGGCAGTTTCAGCATTTTTGTTTGTTTTAATTCTTCCTGTTATCTATTCCATGGTTTGCATTTAGTGAAATGTTTGATGAAATGAATTTGCTGTAATTTGAAGTAAAGTGCCCATTCTTATTTTTTTAACACCAGAGAATGAGATTTAACATTGCTGTATTTCTCTTGGCATCCTCAGACATTGTCTTGTTCAGTCTTTGTAGATGTTAAGTTTTAATTGCAGTTTTCAAAAAAGAGACAGCAAATGGTGCTGTGTAAAATATGAGTTAATATATTGAAATGCAGACAGTAAAGACACTTCTGTTCAATGTTGCATGCCAGAAATACATCATAATGTCCAGTCATCTCATAATCTATAGGCCATTTTGTATTTTCTATGTGGGCAAATACAAGTGAATATCCAGGTGGATAGGGGAATGTTTGATAGGAAAAAAAAAAGAAAAATAATGTATAACGTGTATGTTAGCAATAGAAATGTAGATAAAAAGAAAATTTCTCCTATGTCATTTACTACATCGGTTGTCAACCTCTAATCTACCGTTTCTCTCACTGCCTGGGTTTCGTCAAGGAGACAGATTTGGTGGATTAAGATCAAAACAGAGATACGTAGAAATTCGGAAAGGGGGGCCTCCGGGTTTTTCCCCCCCCTCTCGCTCCTCTTCAGAAATTCAGGCACTTGAGTTTTCAATCGCCCTCTGATGTTTTATCAAGATTTTTAACTTCAAACTATTCTCCTGTCTTCTGATGCTTTAAATGCAGTATTGTAAGACACTGTTTGTTTTAGTTTTTATTTTTGCATCCCTCTTTCCACATGCTGATTTATAGATCAAATTGGTTAATTCAAGAGGAGACGTGAATAGTGTTACCACAGAAAAATAAGTAGATAGAGAAAAAAAAAAGTAAACAAATAGATAAGTAACTGAATAAAAAGATGAATGGCTAACATACTTAAACCCCTCTCTCACTCTTGTTCTCGCTCTCACTCTCACTCTCGCTTTCACTCCCATTCTCGCTCTCACTTTTGCCCTCACACTTGCTCTCACTTTTACCCTTGCTTTTACCCTCATCCTCACTCTCTCACTCTCACTTTCACACACTCTCTCTCTCTCTCTCTCTCTCTCTCTCTCTCTCTCTCTCTCTCTCTCTCTCTCTCTCTCTCTCTCTCTCTCTCTCTCTCTCTCTCTCTCTCTCTCTCTCTCTCTCATTCTCTCTCTCTCATTCTCTCTCTCATTCTCTCTCTCTCTCATTCTCTCTCTCTCTCATTCTCTCTCTCATTCTCTCTCTCTCTCATTCTCTCTCTCTCTCATTCTCTCTCTCTCTCATTCTCTCTCTCTCTCATTCTCTCTCTCTCTCATTCTCTCTCTCTCTCATTCTCTCTCTCTCTCTCTCTCTCTCTCTCTCTCTCTCTCTCTCTCTCTCTCTCTCTCTCTCTCTCTCTCTCTCTCTCTCTCTCTCCCTCCCTCCCTCCCTCCCTCCCTCCCTCCCTCCCTCCCTCCCTCTCTCTCTCTCCCTCCCTCCCTCTCTCCCTCTCTCCCTCTCTCCCTCTCTCCCTCTCTCCCTCTCTCCCTCTCTCCCTCTCTCTCTCTCTCTCTCTCTCTCTCTCTCTCTCTCTCTCTCTCTCTCTCTCTCTCTCTCTCTCTCTCTCTCTCTCTCTCTCTCTCTCTCTCTCTCTCTTTCTCTGTCTGTCTGTTTGTCTGTCTGTTGGTGGTCAACCTGTCATAGGACAGATCACTAAGAAAGAAATGAGATTTTGGACAAAAATTGTAACTGGTCTATGTGATAATACTTTTGTTATTGAAGGAATAAAAAAAAACTAAAAAAAAAAGGTGTTACAGAGAAATGAAAGAAAAAAATGGAAAATCATATATATTTACATATATATATATATAAATATATATAATATACATATTGTTATATTATATGTATATATATGTATATTTAAAATAATATATAAAATATATATGTATTTATATATATTTACATATATTTACATATATAAAATATATATATATATACATGTCTAAATATACATATACATATATATGTGTATATGTACATATGTATGTATATATGTATGTAAGTATAAGTATGTATGTATATAAGTATATATATGTATGTATTTAAGTATATATATACATCGGCGTAGGGGCATTTAAAATTTAGGGGGGGTGCTGCAAATTTTCTGCCCGAGTGAAAGAGGAAGAGAAATTTCATCTGCCCGAAAATTTGTGATGAATGCTACCAGTGGCGTAGATAGAGGGGGTCGGGGGGGATACCCACCTATAAGGCTAAACTGCCATTCTGTCGGAAAATTTCTGCACTTGTCGGAAAAATAACGATGGTTTTCTGTTTCGTTTAGTACTAGTGGCCTTATGTTATGTTCATAATGATCAAAAATGAGAATTAGTGTCAAATTTTTGTCGGGATATCTTCATTTCTCGCCCCCTCTATGAATTTTCCTATCTACGCCCCTGTCCAAAATTGCCCGAATTCAACTAGCATTTACCCGACTGGGGGGGGGGGGGGGGGGCTGCAGCCCCCCCCCCAGCCCCCCTGGCTCCTACGCCTATGTATATATATATATATAATTATATATATGATATATATATGTGTGCGTGTGCGTGCGCATGTGCGTGCATACACATTAATATATAGGTATGTAGGTATATAATATACATTATACACATTATATATACATATGTACATATGTAAATATATACATATGTAAATATATACCTATATAATACATACAATATATATAATATATACTTATATATTTATGCGCACACACTCACACACAGATACAGACACACAGGGAGGGAGGGAGGGAGAGAGAGAGAGAGAGAGAGAGAGAGAGAGAGAGAGAGAGAGAGAGAGAGAGAGAGAGAGAGAGAGAGAGAGAGAGAGAGAGAGAGAGAGAGAGAGAGAGAGACATACAAAAAGAAACGAAATATACAGGGTCGAACAGCACCATCCGCCCACTAACAGAAGGCACCGAACAATCTACACGCAATCAGACTTAGTTTTGTTTGTGTTCTGAAACAAGTTTTAGAACCCGAAGACGTGGCTGTACGGTCGCTTTTGAACGACCCTTCATATTTTATGGAAAAGGGGGAGGCGACACGACTGTCCGAGGAAGAGGGAAGATTGGGTTTAGGGAGAAGGGAGGAGAAAAGGGGAAGAGAAGGTTGGAGATTGGGACGCGGAGAAAGTGTGGGAAGAAAAGTGGTTGATGAAGATGGGAGAGAATGGACAGAGGGAAAATGAAGACCAAAAGTAGATAAGTGATGGGAGCGGGAGAGGAAGAAAATAGAGGAATGTTCAAAATGAGTTTTGGATCTAAACCTAACAGACTTGAAGCTTCAGATATCAGAGATTTATATTTGTTTTCTTGAAGGGCTGAACAACGTAGAAAAGTCGATTTTTTTTTTTTTTTTTTTTTTTTGTATTATATACATTCTGTAGCACTCCCTTGTAAAAAGGAAGGTATACAAAAGGAAATAAGTAAAAAAAAATATATATATTAATATGAAAATCAATTACTTGTGTTTATATTTAAGGAAATGGTGGAAAATCTCAAAAAAACAAATAATATGAATATGACATTAGGAAAAAAGAGAAGTAAAAAAAAAAAAGCGCCTACGATGAAAAAAGAAAAAAAAGGAATATGATTTTTCAACCCGTATTAAGATAAAAAAAAAAGAACAGAATAACAATCACGGAAAAAAAATATCAGAAAAAAACAAAAATGAAAAGAAAGCGAAAATAAAAGATTTGATAGCTATGGCAACAATTTAGATTCCCATTGAAGATACCTCGGCCAACGTCAGTCGCACAGTGGAAATAACTCGCTGGAAATGAGGTGACGTGACGCAAAATTGGATTAAATCTTTCTCCCCGTTCGCCTTTCTTTTCCAGAAAATGAATCGCTCAGGTGTACAGAATAGGAGACGGGGAGGGAGGGAGAGGGGGGGAGGGGGAAGAGAAAGGAGGAGACGGGTGGAGGAAAGGAGGAAAGTAAGGGAATGGAAGGGAGGGGGTAGGGGAGAGGAGGGAAAAGGTAGGGGGGCGGGAGGGAATCGAAGGGGAATAGGAGACGGGGAGGGAGGGAGAGGGGGGGGAGGAGGGGGAAGAGAAAGGAGGAGGACGGGTGGAGGAAAGGAGGAAAGTAAGGGAATGGAGGGGAGGGGGATAGGGGAGAGGAAGGGAAAAGGTAGGGGGGGGCGGGAGGGAATCGAAGGGGGATAGGAGACGGGGAGGGATGGAGAGGGGGGGAGGGGGAAGAGAAAGGAGAGACGGGTGAGAGAAAGGAGGAAAGTAAGGGAATGGAGGGAGGGGGGCTAGGGGAGAGGAGGGGAAAAGGGAATGGAGGGGAGGGGATAGGGGAGAGGAGGGAAAAGGTAGGGGGGCGGGAGGGAATCGAAGGGGAACAGTAAGAAAAGATGACAGGAGAAGGGAAGGAGGAGTCACAGGAGCAAAAAAAAAGAAGGGAAGAGAGAGAAGTGGAGAGGAGAGTGTGTAGAGAAAAAGAAACGAGAATGAAAGAGCGAATAGAAAAAGGCAGATAAGATTGGGGTGAAGAGCAAAGACGGAAAACAGAAGAGGAAGGAAGAGTGAGGGAGGGATAGAAATAAAGGAAAAGGAAAAGGAGGGAAGGAACAAGAAAGGAAGGAGAGAGAGGATGGGGGAGAAGTGCAAGGAAAGGAAGCAGAAAAAGGAAAGAAAGGAAAAGAGAACAAAAAAAAGAAAGATGACCCAAGAAACTAGGACGGAGAATAGGGTAGGAGACAGTGGCGTGGTGGCTCCTATTTGGCTGGGGAGGGGGGGGGGGGCACTAGTCTTTTTGGGCGCCCCTTTGAGAACTGCGCCCTTGGTACAAATGTATTTGTACCATTTGGACTGTAGGCGCCTTTTCGGAGCGCTGTAGATTTTGTGTACGTATTTGCTTTCAGTGAGCTTTTGGCGCCTCTTGGAGAGTTGAGACACCTTCCGCGCCCCCTGCCTTTTCTTCGTTGAGGGGGCACGTGCGTTGAGACAGCAAGGAAAGGGAGAGGGAATGAAAAGGGAAAGGGGCGCGAGGGGGGGGGGGGGGAGATGAGAAGGAAATGAAAGGAAAGAAGATAAGAATAATGAAGAGAAGACAAGGGAGGGAATGGGATGGGAGGGGATGGGAGGGGTAGAGAAGAGGAGACGAGACGAGACGAGTCGTGACGAGACGAGACGAGACGAGACAATAAAATATAGCAAGACTGTGGAATAGAATGAAATATAATAGAATAAAATAAATAATATAAATCAAAACAAAACAAAACAAAACAAAACAAAACGAAACGAAACGAAACGAAATGAAACGAAACGAAACGAAACGAAACGAAACGTAACGAAACGAAACGAAACGAAACGAAACGAAAACGAAATTAAATAAGATAGAATAAGACAATAAAAGAATAGAACAAAGAAAAGAAAAAAAGAAAAGAAAAGAAAAAAACCCTCTGAAATCGGAAAACTGACACAGTCGAAAATGGACAAAATAAAGACATAAATCCCTCTCCAGAAATAAGAAATAAGTGACACGAAAATTTTAATATTCTACCTCGAATTTACGTCCTCTCTTCATTTACAATAACCAGGAGGATCAGAGCCGCTCAGACGAGGGATCGGATGCCATTAAGTGTCCCATACTTGGCGCCAATCCTAAACACGTCCAGTCCTTGGCAGCGGGATCTGTTTTTTTCCCCATCTAATAATGATTCTAAACCATTCTATATTTTCGTTTTACGACTGCCATTTTTATGCGTTCAGTAGGCTGATGATCCAATGAGACAATATCGTAAATTTCGGACTAAAACGAGGTCGACCATCAGTATCTTTGTGATATGACAGCCCGCGTTCGTAACGGATAATTACGCATCATCGCCGTGTTCGTATGACAAGCTGTCATTAGCTTGTTTACTTTCTTCTGAATATTATTCTTGAAATATATTAATTAGATACAATTTCTCGCTATCTATCGCTATCTTTCCAATGGGAAACTTACACAGATATGGAGAGAGAGAGAGAAAGAGAGCGAGAGAGAGAGAGAGAGAGAGAGAGAGAGAGAGAGAGAGAGAGAGAGAGAGAGAGAGAGAGAGAAAGATAGATAGATAGATAGATAGATAGATAGATAGATAGAGAGGGGGGTGAGTGAGTGAGTGAGGGAGTGAACGAGAGAGAGAGAGAGAGAGAGAGACACAGAGAGAGAGAGAGAGAGAGAGAGAGAGAGAGGGAGGGAGAGAGAGAGAGAGAGAGAGAGAGAGAGAGAGAGAGAGAGAGAGAGAGAGAGAGAGAGAGAGAGAGAGAGAGACAGACAGAGAGAGAGAGAGAAAGAGAGAGAGAGAGAGAGAGTGAGAGAGAGAGAGACAGAGAGAGAGAGAGAGAGAGAGAGAGAGAGAGAGAGAGAGAAAGAGAGAAAGAGAGAGAGAAAAAAAAGAGAAAAGAAAAGAGAACCTTCTCCTCCTCCCCCTCCCCCCATTCAAAATTCCACTTTCCAATTTAGCTAAGAGTCAATTAGCACAGAACCCATCGCTGACCAAGATTTCCAAGTGGATTCCGAGCATAATGGATACAGAAGACACAATCTCATCAAACTAATGAATCGATCAGCTAAAGTATTAAAATAAGTCTCTTAATAAGAAGAGTCTCCCCTCCCAAATGAAACTTTTTTTTCATTTTATTTTTTTTAGGTGTGTATAGGATAAATTATGGAAGATAGATATGATAATTGTGAGAGATAATACGGTTTGAGAGTGCTGTAAGATAAGATAAGAGTATACTTATGTTTTCGTTTTTTTATATGTAGTTTAAGCTCGTTATCGTTGGATGTGAGGATAGAAGGCAAGAAAAAAAAAACGTTTATAGAGGGAAATAAAGTGAATCAAATGTATATTATTGATAGATTGGACAACGTAAATATCAGGTTTGAAATAATAACACCAAACCTGAGAAAAGATAAAGAGGGAACAGGGAAAACAACAACAACAATAAAAAAAACTAATTTTCGTGCATTTTTCCCTTTGGAGTTATCTTTATCGCCTGTTTTAAGAAGACTGAAACACAAAATAAGAATTGGAAGGGGATACCGAAATAATACTCTAAAAATCTTTACTTCTTTATGTAATGTTTAATGGAAACATTCTGATATCCTATATTTCATGGAGCATGTTTTTCCAAAGGTTTATCCATCCAGGTTAGAAGTGGGAGAAATGTAAATGAAAAATGTAAATGTTGATAATGCTGGCAAAGGCATTTATGGAAATGATAATGACTATAATATTGGCGGAAAATAACAGCATATAGCATCTATATTAAAACCAACCGTAACAATTTGTTTTTTTCTCTGCTGAAAGGTGTAAACTATACTTAATCATTTAAAATATCAAGTGAAACCACAAATAAAAACTGCAAACTGCTTCTATATGTAAAAAAACAAAAGACAATCTACAACATAAAACCAATACAAAAAAAATGAAAAAAAGAAAAGAAAATCGGCCTCCACATCCAGTCACTTTAAAAAGAGCAGTTCAAAATAATCGAGAAAAAAAACAGCCGTGAATTTAGTTTTCCTTGATGATTTTCTTGATCCAGCCGAGGTAATTGGCCACTTTGGTGTAGACGCCGTACTTGCCGTGGTCGCCGCAGCCCTCGCCGAAGGACGTCACGCCGTGCACCGTCCACCGGCCCTGCTGGTCCTCGCACATCAGGGGGCCGCCGGAGTCACCTGGGGGGTGGGGGGGGGCACTCATCAGATCGAGGACAAGGTATAACATTCCGGAGAAACACACACGTATACACATGCATGGATCTCTCTCTTTCTCTCTTTCTCTCTCTCTCTCTCTCTCTCTATATATATATATACATATATGCACATATATATATATATATATATATATATATATATATATATATATATATATATTCTTTTTTTTTCTTTTTTTATTTATTTTATTTTATTTTTTTTCTTTTTTTTTCATTTTTTCTCTCTCTCTCTTTCTTTCTTTCTTTACGTTTAGGTACGTGTGCCTCTTCGTGCGTATATAAAAGAACCCTAATCCACCTCCATCTCTTTCTAGACACAAAACGTAAGAAAAGAGAAATCGAGGCTACCTGCGCAGGTGTCGGAGGTGCCTCGCTTGTTACCGGCGCAGAAGTGGTTGTCGGTGAGCGGGTGGTCGGGGTAGGCCTTCCGACACGCCGACTTCGTTACGATGGGGACCTGGGGGACGGAGGGCGAAGGGGAAAGGGGGGGGGGGAGGGGAGGGGAAGGAGGAGGAGGAGGAGGGGGAGGAGGTGGAGGGGAGAGAGGGGAAGAGGGGGGAGGAGGAGGAGGAGGAGGAGGGGGGGGAGGGAGGGGGAGGAGGGGAAGGAGGGGAAAGTAGGGGAAGGAGGAGGGGGAAGGGGAAGGGGGGGAAGGAGGATTAGGAGGGGAGGGAGGGGAAAGAGGGAAAGTACGAGAAGGAGGGAAAGAGGGAGGAGGAGGAGGAGGAAAAAGAGGAAAAGAAGGAAACAGAAGACAGGATATGAAGGGGACAGAAAGAAGTTGAGGAGGGAAGTGGAGGAGAAAAAAGGGGAAAAGAAAGAAAAAAAGAGAAAAAAGAACGAGATAAGAAGAGGGGAATCAGGAGGAAGAAAGGAGTATAAGGATAAAGGGTGGAGAAGGGGGACGAGAAAGAGGAAGAAGGGAAAACAGAGATTAGAAAAAAAAAAAGGAAACAAGGATTTCATATTCAGTCTAAGGCTTACGTAAACAATTGATAAGTACAAGCAATCTAAAAAAACAAACAAACAAAAAATCATAATTCTCAAAACCAGAAAAGAAAAAAATGAGAGAAATCAATCAAGCTTATCTCCCCCCCCCTCGTGGTGAAATTTAGATATGCATAAAAAATTAAATGTATCGAAAATCCCTTCCTTGCTTCCCTGTCCCCCATACCTCCCTCCCCCTTAAAAAATGGAAGATTTATAACAAAAATGACCAAGAAAACTGCTTTCTTCTCTCCCTCCCCCTCCTTTCCCTCCCACTACCCCCCCTCCCTCCCTATGTCCACCGATCCCCCTATCACCCCTCACCCCACTATCCTCCCCCATATCTCCCCTCTACACTAACTCCCCCTTAATCCTCTCTCCTCCCCCCCCCCCCCCTACCTTCCTCATCGTTCCTTCCTACCCCAACTCCTTTCCCCTTCCCCTTCCTTCCCCACCTATATCCCCCGGTCTTCCTCCATCCTATTATCCTCAATCCTCCCCAACCTCAACCCCCCCCCCCATCTTCCTCCCTTCCTCAACCTCCCTCACCAATTCCCCCAATTCCCTTTTTCCTCCATCCTTCCCCCATCTCTTTTCCCCACTTCCCCCACTACCTCCCCCATCCTTCTCCCACCCTGACTCTGACCCTAACTCCCACCCTACCCCTCTCCCTCCCTATTTTTCCCCCACTCCCCCTTCCCCACCCTACCCCCCTTCCTTACCCTAACCCCCAACACCCACCCTAACTCCCCCCAACCCCCCACCCATTCCCCATCCCACCCTCCCCCTCCCTCCCCCCACACACACCCCCCACACACACCCCCCGCACGCGAACTCTCACCCTCGCGTAGTTGAGGACATCGGAGCCGAAGATGTGCGTCTCCCTCTCCTTGCCCCAGCCGGCCACCACGCACTTGCTCTTGGCGGGGGGCGGCGTCCCTCTCCCCGGCAGGCACGCGGGGAGGACGTAGCG